GATTCCAAGTTTAATTACTAGAAAAGCTGCCTGTACTTGTTTACCAATATATCTAAGTTGTGTTTGCCCTATTAAGTAAGCTTCTCTACACGTTCGTACTTTTATGTGTATGTTAGTTTGGTTTTATTTGTGTTGTTGGTGTGATCGCCTTTTTATATCTGTTTGGTTATAAATATGATATATTCAATTGCTCCAGGATGATGACTCATACATACTACCGGTGCTACTAAGATTCGATGGTCAGCCAGAAGTAGATGAAGAGGTGTGCCCAAATTTGGTTTTCCACCTAAGTGTGCTTTGACGTAAAATAGTTACTGAAGGATGGTTTTGATAATTGTTGATAGAGAAAGTATCAGATCTGTGCTTATAGTTTCTAGCAATCAATACTATTGTAGTGGAGACACATTTGGTTTTTAAGTGCTTCATGGGATGTTCACCATCTAAATATGCCAATGATTTTTGCACTGTATCAAAAGAGATGCATAATGTCTAATTTCTCAAATGGTTCATCGACTTGGCTGGTAGAGCTAAACTAATTTGTCTATCTTTGTGGTTTCCATCAAAGTTTCATGGGTTTCTAGTTCATGCATAGAGGATACTATCGGTATATCTTATGTAACATTGTGCATGAATATTCAAGGAAAGCAGTAAGATCTCATTTGTTAAAAACTCTCTCTCACTTCACCTTTGTGGTTTTCTTTTCTTTAACTTATTTGCAATTTAATTAAACGCGCAAGTCAGATTAACTTTTTTACATGTCTAATGCTATCTGCAACTACTGAATCAACTTACTGTGGACTTTGGTATATGGTATATTACATATTAAATTAGATATATCTCGTTTACTTCACTATATGTACTTTACAGGGGAATATTTTATACCGTTTTCCTTCACTACAACGCACTGCGGCTCCACAGAGGCGTGGACGGAAAGAATATGTTGGAAGAAAATGGTCTGATTTGGATGGAATTCGAAAGTTCTTTAAGGAAAATAAATGGAAATTTAGGTAATATTTTCTCCTGGATCCTCTTTTCAGTAGTAACTTGGTCAATGCATGCATCTTCAGATGGTGATATGGTATTGGACTTTTTCCTGCAGCAAAACCAGTTCTTCAGAGAGGGCAATGGTGATTGGTCTAGGTGGCCTAAATCTATTTGGGGTCCTGATTCTGGGCTCCATGTTGAAGTAAATTTTCTTTGCCGTGCTTTTTCTTTAAGTTATTTTTGAGCATTTTAAATTTCTTTTTATGACATCTTGTTGAAACGTTTACTTGAAGGACAATGACGGTTAGCCCCAGTGGGTTCGTCTCATTTGTCTCTGAAATATTTCCCCTACTTCAGGTATGTTTCTGTTGATGTGTACTTACGTGGTTGAATTGCTCTAGACCAATTGAAACTAAAACAAGCTTTGAGTTTCATGGGTGATGATAATCCTTGATAAGTCAATTTTTTTTTGGTAAATAAAAGCAAAAAAAGAAAAATCTGTACTACTGACAAAGATCTTTTTTCCGTTTTCATTTCTGTAACAATGATGCATGTCCACGTATTGTTGTTGCTTTGATGTTTCTATCAACACTTCTGAAAGTCTTTCCTGCATGAACCTTCTCAGATCTATGCCGGCTCTTTCTTTGCAATTCCCTTAATTCGGTGGTTTTTCGTTCAAAACAAAAACGCTAAAATCGTTCAAAGGAATCGTGCCAGGGAACAATGGGCCAGAATTTTAGAATCACCTGATCTTTCTTTAAGGCGGAAGGTAAACACCATTGATGAATGATTCAATTTAGTTGAAGTCCTTTTCACTTTTTAACGTTTATCAATTTCTGTAACCTTAGTTGCCGTAGTTTGGTCTCAATTTACTGAATGATAACTTTCTCTTCTCGTTCTACATTCTGTTCTGGTGGTCCGACTTTAGCAATATTTTTTCCTTCCTCCACTTTAGCAAGATATGAATTTGAAATTTGATTGCATTTTGATTTCTTAGTGTTTACATTTAATGTAATGGCCCGACTTGAATCTAATTTCTTCACATATGGTACATTTTCAGCTTTTAAGTGCTCGGGACATGGCACAACGGACATTCATTGGAAAGGATAGAATTGTCTATAGTACGGAGAAGGATTTATATGAACAGGATTACGACGCCCGGGAATGGGATTTGAGATTCAAGGAGATTGAAAAATCTGACTAGTCATGATTTCTGTAAATTTTTGTTCACAATAGAGATACTTATACTATTCAGTACATGTAAGCAAGATCGGTCTTTGTCCATAAACCCTTGTCACAGTTTGTGAATGAGGTTCAGTTGTATGTTTTATTTGTAATAAAACATATACTACGTGTACACAACTATTTTTTAGTGAAAAAGTCCTCGAGGTGAGTGAGGCTTCCTGAAGAACAATTTTATTTATGTTTGCTTCCGCTTTATTTTACCGTTGCTACATACTGCGTATTTTAATTGATCCCTCATAAACTACAATATGTTTTGAAGGAAAAATCCGAGGTATTTTGTAGATTCAAAAAAGTTGATGGTAAAAAATCAAAGTGATTATCGAATCATGGTTCTTAGGTCCTATCGAGGTGGTGAATTCATTTCGAACGAATATGAAGAATTTTGTGAGAAAAATGGTGTTCTAATGTCCTATGACGACCTCATACATTCATACTCACATCAGCAAAATAGAGTAGCATAACGGAAAATCGAACAATCCCATAAAAATCTTGCATAGAAACTTTTGTAATATAAAAGCGATCTTTTCGTATATTAACCAACAGTAAAAGCCAGCTTGCTTTGAGGTTCAAAGTTCCTAGCTCTTAGTGAATTTGCAAGCCCTTAGAGCCTGATTTAAATATTAATCTCCATATATGTATCAGACAAATGTTACAATCTCGTTACGGGACCATCCCCTCAAGAGTTTTAACCATTGGATACATGAAATTGTATAAGATAGAAGATCTAACGGGATCATAGCATTTCCGTGTGTATCATAGTAGATAATAAATCACTTAATGCAGAAAAAGTTTAATAAATAAACAAAGAAAATAAAACAGAAAAGAAAATGGCAGTCACATGCACAGGGCCACGACACCAGTTCAAAAACACCACCTGTTGCCTCCATCTCGCATGCAAAACACCTATGTGGAAGCCCGTAAACGCAAAACCCAGACAAGCCCTCCAAATCCCATCCACATACACCCCCCAAAACCGCCACGTATACGCCATGCACCCACCATAAATACCCCCACCACACTACACAATCCTCACACCACACCCACTATCACTCACCAAATATCACACACACACACACACACACTCATCAAAAAAGCCATCCATGGCAGCCATGAAGATAGCCCTGACGGCAGCCCTCCTTGCGGCCCTAGTGGCCCTGGCGGCCGCCACCACGTACACCACCACCGTGACCACCACCACCTTTGCCGACGAGGCTGCGAACCCAGGCCAGCAGCAGCAGTGCCAGAGCCAGATTCAGGGCCGCCAGTTCCGGTCGTGCCAGAGGTACCTCTCCCAAAGGAGCGGGTCCTACTCTGATGATGAGGCCATGATCGAGATGAACCCGGGACAACAAGGTCAGGAGTCTCTCAGAGAGTGCTGCCAGCAGCTCCAGAACGTGAACGAGCAGTGCCGGTGTGAGGCCATTAGGCACGCCGTCAGGCAGCTTCAACAAAAAGAGGGCCAACAGATGAGCCAATCCCAGCAGGTGTACCAGAAGGCCACCGAGCTCCCGCGCAGGTGCAACATGAAGCCTCAGCAGTGCCAGATCAGGGTCGTCTTTGTTTGAACGATTTCCGGGCCCCAATCTTTGAACTGAACTTGAAATAATAAAGAGGGTTTGAGTTTGTGAGTAGTGTTTGTAGAGTGCTTGCTTATTTTGTAATAAGTATGCTTTGATGGTGCACATGTTCCTGAGTGTGTATCTTGTTTGAAATAAAAAAATGATTGTGAATTTGTTTTTTAGTACTTATGTCTATGTTGATGTGTCTGTCATATGGTGAATAAATCATAATCCATACAAGCTCTGTCTCTTTCCTGCAAGTGAAAGTAATATATGGTTTGGAGTCTTTGGACTTAATTTGGCCTTTGGGAATATTTATTATCCTGCTCATCTTCTTCATTCATTTGGCATTTCATGCCTCCCAAATTCAATCTCCTGCCCAACAAAATATCTTCGCATAAAAAATTATTTCACGTAGATGATAGCTAGTAATTTCCAGGTCTCTACTTGTTTTATACATACGAGTCAAATTAAAAGCAAACATCTCAATCTAAATAACTTTCTCTACTTGTTTTATACATACGAGTCAAATTAAAAGCAAACATCTAAATCTAAATAACTTTCTAGGAAGATCTAAATGAATAATTTCAAAATTTGTCCTATAATTTGGTTATAGTCTAAAAAATCACCCTGATATTCTGAAAAATCATCTCGATATTGACCACTTTCAAAATTTAATCAAATTTGGTCTTTTTTTAATCACATTTTAATCCATGTTCCAGATAAAAAGGACCAAATTTGATTAAATTTTGAAATTACTGGACCAATTTTGAAAGTGGTCAATATCGGGATAGTTTTTTGGACTGTAGTCAAATTATATGACAAATTTTTAAAATATGCCAATATCTAAAAACCTACCAAATAGTCTCGAATTCCAGAATTGTTTGGAAAAGCAAAAATCTAAAAGCATACCATTACTCTCAAAATACTTGACAAGAATGGACCGACCTACTTACCCTTATCATATCTGTTTTCTTATGGCGCTTACTTTTGTGCCGCCTACTATTGATACTGTGATGCGGGCGAGATGGTTCTCCTTCCCCGCGCGTTGCTACTGTTGTGACCGGCGATTTTCAGACAGACCTTCACTCATTTGTTTCTAGAGAGCGAGCCTGTGAGGAGAGTGTGGGAGTATTATACCAGTTACGCTCATATTCCCTACCCTCCACCGATATTTTCTTTGAGCTCTTGGGTTTTTTCAGACACAGCACACACACTAGACACGTGGGCTTCATTATTTCTTGTCTGATCATTTGGGCCACAAGGAAAGAAAGGAATAATGCGAAGTATAGGGATAACCCTTTTTTTGTGTTCCCATATTATTTTGCAGGTTGACTGACAATCATAACCGCTTTGGGCACTCACCCAGAGAGACTGGATAGGCTGCACGCCACCCCACCGCCTTCACCACCTCTGTTGGCGCTTGTTCAGCATCCATGTCCCAGAGCTGTTGTTTAGCTGAAACCCGAGTCGTCTTCGGTTAAGCTAAACACTGATGGAGCATTTGATCGACTTGCTGGAGTTGCAGGAGGTGGAGGTCTGATTAAGGATCATAGCGGCGCTCTCATTATCGCTTTTCATGCCTCTCTTCGGGCCTCCTCGAGCTATGATGCGGATGTTCAGACGCTTTAGATCGGTCTTCAGATTGCCGCTTCGATCTCATCTCACATTTGAATAGAATTGGAACGCTGCCGCTGTCATCACTCTCTTGACATATGGCCATCAGGGCACGTGGCAAACTCAGCACCCACTCATGCGTATCAGAGCCACTCTTCGGTCGATTCTCTTTCGGATCTCACACATCTTCCGCGAGGGGAACTGGCCTGCTGACTTCCTCATTAGCATCGGGTCCTCCTCTGCCTCCGCACCCTCATACGGATGGACACATGGGATACCCTTCTTTCAGATTTGCATAGCCGCTCCTGCATTTTGGCGCATCTACCACACCGTGATGCAGACTTCTTTGCCGCGACCAGAATCTATTATTTTTGGTTTTTCGCTGCAGTTGCCAGCTTACATTGTATTTTTCTTGCTTTTGTTTTTGGTTTTTCGCTTGACTTGATGTATATCACACATTGGCCTAGTGATTTTGTGACCTTTTTAGCCCATTTAGGGCCTTTTGTATATACATGTTGGGTGTTCGGCCTTAACACCCCACCCTACTTGGTGTTTTTTTTAACAAAAATAAAAATAAAAATAAAAAATACTTGACAAGAAATACTTCACCATCGGAGAGAACCTCTGTTACAAACTTTAAACACATTAATGATGCCGAGATCTGGATCTAGGTTGAACCATCTTCGATCATCCCTGAGCTACTGATTACTTGCAAAACAAGTGTTAACCAAGTGTCGGGTTACTTTCAGACGTGTGCACTCCAATAGTACAGATGAGCTACCGATTACTTGCAAAACAAGTGTCGGGTTACTTTCAGACGTGAGCACTCCAATAGTACAGATGACGTAAGCACTCTAACGATTAAGTCAGTACAGAGTACAGAGGAAGATAATGTGTGCTCTGTATGCAAAGAAATGTATATCAAAGTGCTGAGGAGGATGAAGTGAAGGAGAAGTAGGCAAAAGAATTGTATATCAAAGTGCTGAGGAGGATGAAGTGAAGGAGAAGTAGGCAACGAGGAGAACAAGGGGAGGCGGGAAGAAGAGATTCAGTGGAAAAAGTCCAACAATTATTTGCTCTATATGCAAAGAATTGTATATCAAAGTATGTAGAGAGTTTGTAGTTGTACCTCATCCCAGGTGAACACCTGCTGCCCAAAATTGGCTTCCCAAATGTCCCTATTGCCCATGGTCACTCTGCCCGACTACTGCACGAGTTTCGATCTTATCTGTCGAGTCCTTATCTCATCCTTATCATCACTACATTCCTTCGAATGAGCACATGTTTGCTCATGTTTCTTCTCTTAGGTCGTCATGACCACGATTCCTTAGGTCGCCTCACCAAGATATGACAATCCTCATGGATTTATGTCATCTTCTCTTTATCAAGTCGTCCAAACTCCTTAGGTCATCTGGAATATATAGGTCGAGGTGCATGATCAGAGGTCTATCACCCTTTCCCTTTAATTTTATCCATATTACCATGGTTGGTTAGGTCGCCCTTTTGACTAGGTGTTTGTAGTATTTTTGGGCATGTGGTAACTGAGTTACCCGACTCGGGTCGTTCTCAAAAGAAGGCTCTTCGGAGCTTCGTTCACTATCTAGTCGTCAAAGTCACACGACCGAAAAGGTCCTAAACATTCTACTCGCAGTTTGTGGGTTTGAATTTAAACTAGATTAATCTACGAAATGAGAGCAATTGAAAGAAATTAACTAAGCACGCAAGAAGATGAGAGAAATCAAGAGGGAAAGAGGGATTTTGGTTTGCCGGAGTCTCCATGATC